AAAATCTGGCTTCTGAAGAGTCACTTCCTTGCGCCTCGGTTAATTTGTAGAATGAATTGCATTTTAATAGAATTTGTAGAAGAGCTTGTCCCAGCGGCTGTCTCAAAAGCTCTGGGACGTTCTTGACTTTGACCTCAAGTGGCTTTGCTCTCATTGGTAGAATTGTCTGACTGGGATTTGGCAGGGGGGGGGGCAGATGTGGCTTGTTAATCACAACTGCATGAGACGTCTGGCTTGGCTCTGTGCTTGCCTCCCTCTGGTGCCCCCCAGCTGGAAAGGAGGGTCTAGTTTCATTGCGTGGCCACTGCGCACTGGGCATGGTGGGTTGGAGCCCAACTCGCTGGGAAGCTGCTAGATTGGAGAAAAGTGCAATAAACCATTTCTGTAGATCACTTCGGTCAGGACAGTTAAGTGATGGGGTCTCCACAGGGAAAGTCAGAAAAGTCAAGATGGTGGCCATGCGGCCAAAGCTCCAGCCCTTTTATCCCGTGTGTTGGGTTGGGTTTGATCACTGTTGCGGCCGGGTTGGATTCTTTTTTTTAAGCCCCCCCCAGCCCCCGCTGGATGTCTCTGCTAGGTGAGATTTAAAAAAAACCCAACACACTACCTATATTGTTCCAGTATCAAAAACTGTTGGCTTTAGTAAACCAATATCCTCAACCTCTCTTTAGTTGTGATTGATTGAGCTTTTAATAAGTGTGAATCGTTTTTGGAAAATCGGGGGAGAAAATCAGCATTGGGCAGCAGTTTGATTCTTACTCTAAGGAGAGGTGGGAAATTAGAAGGGGAAAAAAGCTTGAACGAGCTTTAATTTGATGCGGTTGGCACCTTGTCATGGCCTTGCTAGCCCAGCTGCTGTTGGTCCAACCGATAGCAAATGGTACCGCTCGCTACTCCCCAAGAAGGTTGATGCGCTCTTGGCAGCCTCTTCATGCAACCTTCTGGACGTAGAAGGACCTTGCTGATATTAGCCCCAGGCTGCTGGTGGAAAGCTGGCCCTGACCACCCACTCCAGCAAACGCAGTTCAGCTTTTTCTTTTTTCCTTAATTTATATTTATTAAGGATTTTTTCACAGAAGAAAAGGCAAATCGAAAGGAAAAAAAGGAGAGAAAAAAAATGCAGGAAATAAAAAAGAACCCCTAAAGTTAAGAAATTTATGAATGACTTCCAACCTTCTTTTTAACAGATAATTACAATCTTTTATTGTCCCTCCTCCCTCTTAAATGCTATACAAGTCCCTTCAGCCCCTCATTTAATCCACATTAACATGTTTCAGTTTTTCTCAAGTGACTTCAAGTCAGCTGAGCACTGACACCTGCAGGTTTTTTTTCCCCATGGCCCCTAAACCTTGCGTTGTCTGTAGCCTTGCACTGAAAGGAAGGCATGTTGCAATCACAACTCGTTTAGCTCCATGACAAGGTAGGAGCAGCAATGAGAAATGGGTTCTATACTGTAAAATGATGCCCAGAGGAAACCGGGAAAATAAGAGCTGAAACTTGTTGAATCAGTCTTTGGGCTGAACAATAGTGGGCCATACCTTGCATTCCATTTATTGTTCCCTTCACAACTTCGTTTAGTTCAAATTCCATTTTTCCCCAAAGCTACTTTGCAACTTTGGTCCAGGAAAACAAGTTCCAGAGGAGAAAAGAGTATAACTACAATAGCGGTCATCAAGACTTTTCCCCTGCAGGTTTTTTCCCTTTCAACATTGGCACACAAAATCCAGCAAGTCAATGCTAAACCAGTGTTTCCCAACCTTAGCAGCTTTTAAGATGCGTGGACAGAAATCCACACATCTTAAAGTGGCTGAGGTTAAGAAACCCTGATCTGAACTGAGAAGTATTGAACTTGACTTGGGCACGTATCTTTGATGTGGGTGAGCAGATCCATTTGCCTTTTGAGTTTACCTCCCCTCCCCCCACCTAAGCCCCACCCAATTCCTGTATGCTTTCTTGGACAATCACCTCTGGCACTGGGCAAGCAGCAAGGGAAGCTGGGGACTGCTCGCTGCTGGACCTTCTGGGATGCTGCTGGCCTCCAAAACAATTTAGGGGGGCAACCTACTGTGTAACGTTGTCTGACTAACTCTTGTAATTACAAAGCATGGAAATGTAGATGCAACTCCATGTTGTGTGAATAAAAGATGAATATGGACACCCTGTGAGGTGACCTTGAATCTGATGCTTGCAGTACTTGTGTTCAAAGGCGGCGATGGTCTCTTGGATCAATTGGTCCCTGGCTTTGTGCTGTGATTTGTGGCTCTCTAACTTATATTACCCAAGAGTTTTTTCATCTGGAGGGGTCAGCGATTCAACCTAGACCTCTCCCCATGAAGACACACATTCCCTCCCTGAATGATGGCTTCTGCGTTTGAGAGCAATCCCCTTAGTACATGCACCTAATCTTCTGGGCCTCTTTCCTGCTGCAGCAGCAGCAGCTTTTCCAAATACCTGAACTGACCACAACTATTTTTTTTTCACGGTAACATCTGCTTTCAGAGACAGAACCCTCAGGTTTTCCCCATTTTCAACCCCAGAACTTACCCAGCCTAGGATTAACATAGTGCAAATGGCACCTGGGCTCCAGAGAAAGCCTTCCATTTTTCATTCCCTTCCAAGCCTGGCGTTTGCTGCCCAGTCCCTCCCGTCTTGCCTTCCACAGGTGCAGAGTGCTCTGACTTGGCTTTCTTTCTGTGACATGGATCTGGAAGTGATTTCATGACTTAAAAAGGAAGCTGGCTGGAGCACTCTGTGCACACCTACGCTGGCCTCACGCTGTGGAGAAAGACAGAGACATGGCGTATGCTCGAGGCACGTGTTTTATTGCTACAGAGCATTTTCCAAGACTGACATCAGGCCCTGAAAATGACTTCTAAAGTCAAGCCTTGAGTCAAATCAGCACTGTCACTGTTAAATAAAATGCAGAAAAACACAGACATGGCTCAACACCACACTGCTGATGGCTGTCAGTCACCAGGACCAAGAGAATCTTCACAAATTCCAAATTTGAAGGAGCGTAATCTTAACTACAGCATATCCGTTAAATCATCCAATTGGGGAACCCACAATAATGAGCACACAAATCCATGCCACTGGGCACCACCCACCAGTGAGGACTGGCTCAAATTAAGTCTTGTAGGTTCCACAAATGCCAAATATGAGAAAAATCATGACACTGAGCGAGATGGGACCGTCGACTCTTCATTTGTAATAGTCAAAATTCACTGGGAATTTCTTCAAGGACCACTGACAGGACAAATCATATAAAACGGCTTAGCACATGGATGCTTGTCCCTTGTTTGCCAGTGCTCCCTAGTTCTTGCAGATGTACCTTCAAATCTCCCTTTTCAATTTCTCCAATTCTTAGCAAAGAAGGATTGATTGACTGGTAACCTAATTCATATGGGAAGATCTTTCTGCTTTGTTTAAATCAATATTCCACTCCTACCCCACCCCAAGGGGAAGGCCGAACTAAACTAGCACTTAATGCAGAAAACAGATCCATAAGGCAGGATGGCGTATTACGTTATATGAAGCTATAAATTCATTTTCACACTGGAACCCTTCAAGGGAGTTGGATAAACTAGCTGATACCTTCAGTTGCTACAAACAGCGAATGCAGATGATCTGCAATTTTGGAGACAAATGCAAGTCACAGTGATAAAAGGGGCCCCGCACCCACCCGGGGTAATGTTCTTTTTCTGCTGGTCACTGCCCAGATGCTCCATAGCTGGTACTGTACTTCTACGCGTGCTTATTTGGGAGTAAGATCTTTACTGCAAAGTACACATGGCATGGTGAGCTTTTCTTCCCTGGAGGTCTTCAGAGGTTGGAGGGCCATCTGCCAGAAATACGATGGAGGATCCTGCACTGAGCTGGGCTGGACTAGCTGACCTCTAATGAGCCTGCCAACTTGATGATTCTGATTCCAAGACAAACTTGCACCCTTAGCATCTTTATTGCAGGGAATTTGGCTTGTTGCTTGAACTGCCCTTCTTTGGTTCAGGACATCCAGTGCAGTCTGAACCTTGGGAAGAACCCTCCCTACGCCCTACAATCTTCTAGCATGGTGTGTGAGTGGACTTTTTCCTCCATTGTTCTTGCATTATTAAAGGATGAGTTTTAGTGTCTGGAATGAAAGTGTTAGAGATGTCTTTCCCTCTCTGGGGATGTGCAGGCCCCTGGCTTTTTCCTTTTGTGGTCCTGGGGAGTTCTACTAAATGGCAGAGAACTCAACTGCCTTCTGGCCTGTTGCCCCCTCAAATTCCATGGCTCACGAAGGCCCTGTTAGATTGAGAGAACAAGCCAACAGCTACACTGCCATCCAGTTTACAAAGCTTGAATCCTGCTTGCAGCCCTCACAGATGAAAACTGAACATCAGAGGACCACATATTTTGGTGGCCTAGTATGGGAGGGAGGGAGGGTTCATTCATTGCACATCTTGGCCTTCTGGCCCTAACACACCTTTGGGAGGGAATGAGAAGTCATCAGGCCAAACAGTTTTCTATCTAGCTTGACCCCTTCTCTGCTGAGGCCACAGCTCTCCCCAAGATCAGAGGTGGAGGAGATCCTCCTTGTCCAAAGCAAAACAGTCTCCAGCCCTTCTCTGAAACTTTAATGGAACTGAACAGGCACATTTAGGAGGCCCACAAGCCTCTTTCTGTTACAGCGTATTGCTACTTGGCCAGAGAATTTGGTTCTCTTATCCCCTTTAGTATCTACAGAGCAGCTCTGTAGATACTGGGCTCCCATCCTGCTGACCACCATAAACACTTGTGCTCTGGAGCTTCAGGACGGTCCCTACCACTTTCAAGCAGAAAAGGGCATTCCAGCACCAAAGGAGACCCTTGGTGGTCCCACAGTCCCAAACAACTTCTGGGCATATTTAGATTTTTTTTTAACTTGCCTTTATTATTTCTGTAAATAACTCAAGGCAGAGAGCATACCTAATACTCCTTCCTCCTCCTATTTCCCCCACAACCACCACCTATGAGGTGAGTTGGGTTGAGAGAGAGGGACTGGCCCAAAGTCACCCAGTCGGCTTTCATGCCTCAGGTGGGACTAGAAGTCAGTATTCCAACCGCCACCCTGTGCAGCATGTCAAGCCAGTTAAATTCTTGCAGCTCTGGGAATGGAGGTCCTGCAGCAATTGGAGCATCCCAAGAGGAGAGTTCTCAACTGCCCCCACCAGAAAGCAGCCAGTGCCAAGTTGGGAAGAAACTCCACACCCAACTCCCCTCATCGGGCTCTAGAACAAGATCTTCCAAACATTTGTCATAGAGGAACCTTTTTCTGGAAACCATAAACAGAAATGGGATGGTTTCCCTACATCTAAGCATAGGTTGGAGGAGTGATACAAACTAGCTGCGTATTTGATCCTAAAGCCAACCAACCAACTAGGATTTAGCACTGATCTGGAGCTTTTTAGAGTAGTCAAAATGCTCAACACAGATTTCTTCACTGAAATCCTTACGATGACCCTGAAAAAGGAGGGAATATAATAATTATCCTCAATCCTCAACAGGAGACTGAGCATAAAAGAGAAGCTTTGGAGTAGGTGGAAGTGACAACATCCACTGAGAAGTTTCTCGTTGATGTGTCAGTCTCCACAGTTCTGCTCTTTGCCTTGGGAGTGGGTCCTGCACATGCTGTCTCAAAGCCAACAGGGGAAGCTTTGTGCTCTTGCCCCTCCACCCCTGTGAAATCCTCCTCCTAGTGCATAACACTTGGCCAGTCATCATGGTACCAAGACACAAAGCTGTTCATTGCTTTCCTCCAGTCTCTTCCTTCAGATGGGACTTAGTCCTTTCCTCCTGCAACTCATCTCCCAGAGGCCTTTTAGCATCTGTCCCCCCACTAGGAGATGCACCTGCCTTTTCTCAGAGATGTGCTCAGGAGAGTTGCACCATTCTTCCCAAGGACAAGTCATCCCACCCCACCGCAAACCACCTTGGCTGGTTGGGCTTGGTGGGCCCCCCACCCAAGCCATTCCTCGACAGGGAAAAGTTAGGGCAGTGCAGCGGGCCCTCAGAGTTCTTTTGGCCTGCTGATACTGGCAGGATTTGAGGCTACCTTGCAGGCTTGTTTTTCAAAGGACTTAAGAAGTCCATCCAGTCTGACATCCAACGCTGCCCAGCCAGACCCCTCCAGAAAAAACCCACAAACCATGAAAGAGGACAGCTCGTCTCCAGTATCTGGTCTTAGAGGCAGACAGCCCAGAACCGTGGAGGTTCATCTCAGCTCTCAGGAATTTGGTGGCGCAGAACTAGTTTTCTCCCAATGCACATTTTCCCCCAGAAGCAAGACTACAGACCCCGAAGCTCCACCGCCCCAAAGGGGTCTGGAGAGGTCCAAAGACATCTGCACGGAGGGCACCGTCTCCTTCTCTGGTCCAGGGGAGACGGGCTGGGCAGGGTGTTGGGGCGGCTCAGCGGGCCAGCTCGTTATCCCCCACGGCGGCAAAGGGGAGGGCCGCCGTGCTGCAGCTTTTGCTGCGCTTGCTCTTCCTCCCCCAGGCAAGGAGGGCCCCGGCTCCTTTGCTCCGCAGCGGCGTCTTGCGGTTGTTCTCTTTGTCGCTTTTCAACAGAGCACCTGCCCCAGAGGCCGCGGCTGTCGGCTTCTTGTCCACCTTCTGGACGAAAAGGAAGGCAGGTGATCACCGACAGGTTATTATTCCACAGAAGAAGAATTCCCTAGATTCTTCCTCTACCAAGAAGGATCAAGAGCAGCTTAGCAAAATAAACACGTATAGAGCAAGAACCATTTATCTGTTTGCTTATTCGTTTCTCAGGCTTATGTGTTGCTTTAGTCCAGTGTTTCTCAACCTTAGCAACTTTAAAACGTTTTGACTTCAACTCCCAGAATTCCCCAGCCAGCATGGGAAGCTGAAATCCATGCATCTTAAAGTTGCCGAGGTTGAGAAACACGGCTTTGGTCCCAATCCAGCTCTTCGAGGTGCACGCCCCAATTCTTGAGCGAACTAAAATAGAACGACATCACGTATTAGAAAACCCAGCAGGGCAATATATTCACCGTGGCCCCAAGGAAAATGCATTCAAAATAATTCACCCCTGCTGATTGCAGGGGGGACTTAACCCTGAGTCAGCCTAGCAGAAGTTTCCTGAAAACCCAAGTCTTCATGGCCTTTCTGAATGCCAACAGGATTGGCACAGACCAGATCCTGGAGGGAAGGCAGGGGCAGCAACTACGAAGGCCCAGCTTTTTGGCCCTGGGGGAAATTCCCTTGCTGAGTGGGGGACCAAAGGCAGCTGTCCCTTCCAGATTTTATTCAGTAGTTGCTACGTTTATACCCTGTCCTTCGTCCTCAAGACAGTGGACACAGCATCTCTTCCTCCTCCAAACCTGAACTGGAAACTTTGGCTTCCCAAAACAAAATGAATAAATAATTCATCAAGTCCCTTGGAAGGCAAGCTGGTTCACTGATACCTCCAATTACCATTCCGGCTCATAAACCTCTTATTTATTTATATTTCAAATTTATATAGGCCGCCCATCTTGCTATACAAGTGACTCTAGGCGGTGTTACACATAAGCAAAGTAGAAAATCCTAGGAAAAAAACATGTAAGTTAATTAGCTACAAGAGGTTAAAATTAAGCTAAAGAGTTAAAACTGCAATGCAAACTAAAAAGGTGGGGAGAGCATAGTCAGGCTACCAGCCGCCCCCACTGTTTATTGTGCTGGGGGGCTGGGGAGGGAGGACAAATTGCCCTGATTCCCAGTTTTTGTTTATAATCTGGTGCAGTGTTTCTCAACCTTAGCAACTTGAAGATGTGTGGACTTCAACTCCCAGA